GCGGTCTCACAGTCTTTGTAAGAGGAGGGCTGGATTGAGGTAGCATTATGACCACAGAAATTTCCTTTCCTTCTTCATTTTCCTGTAAGGGGAAAAGAGTGGTCTTGCATTAAAGCTCAGTGAGTCAGGCATGATTGAATTATGAAGCAGGACTTTATGTCTCTTTCCTCCATAGCCCTATGACAATGACTTGTTTGTTTATTAGCTCTCTCTCCACTAGACTGGAAGCCCCATGAGGAAGGGGCCCATATCTCTGTCTAGTGTAGCTATCTGTGGATTCATAACTGCATCTGAGCATCTGGAGGTAGGTGTGTGATATTACCTTTGCATGGGAACATGAACTTGGGTGTGTTGTATGGGTTGTCTGTGGCCTCCTGGGATGGGGGGAGGGCTGTATAAGGCTCAGCCCTGATGGGACAGGCTTGATGTCTATCCGACTTGGTCATCAGGAGAAGTATCACTTCATGGGCCCATCCCACACAGGGTGCCCTTTACTGCTTACTGGTACCCTTTACTGCTGAACATCCGGTTGTCTTCAGGCCATGGATTAATCCAGGGTTAGCTAGGAGTACACCTGGTCTGTACAGTTCCTTCCATTCCATATATGCTTTTCCTCCATTTACCGTTGTTTGTTCTCCCTTCTATGTGAAGGTCTTCTTTTCTTTCCAGATCTTCATCATCTCTCTCCTGCTCCATTTTCCACTTCTCCTTTTCTTTCCTGTTCCTTTAAGCTTAGTTCCATATAGCAACTCAGAGGGGAATAAAACAGCAATGCCATTTGACCTCCTTTGGCACATGTTGTTGTTGTTAGGTGCCGTCAAGTAGGCTCCAACTCATAGCGGCCCTGTGTCCATCAGAATGAAACTCTGCCCAGTCCTGCGCCATCTTCACAATCTTTGCTATGCTTGAGCCCATCGCTGCAGCCACCGCATCAGTCCATCTTGTTGAGGGTCTTCTCTTTTTTGCTGACCCTTTACTTTACTAAGCATGATATCCTTCTTGGGGAACCAGTCCCTTCTGACAACATGACCAAAGTAACTGAGACGAAGTCTAGCCATTCTTACTTCTAAGGAGCATTCCGGCTGCACTTCCTCCAGGACATATTTGTTTGTTCTCCTGGCAGTCTTATGGTATTTTCAGTATTCTTTGCCAACACCACAATTCAAAGCATCAACTCTTCAGTCTTTCTTGTTCATTGTCCAGCTTTCATATGCATATGAGGCAATTGAAAATACCATGGCATATATTAGGTGCTCCTTAGTCTTCAAAGTGACATCTTTGCTTAACCCTTTAAAGAGGTCTTTTGCAACAGATTTGCCCAATGCAATATGATGTCTGATTTCTTGACTACTGCTTCCATGGGTGTTGACTGGGAATGCAAGTAAAATGAAATCCCCAACAACTTCAGTCTTTTCCTCATTCATCGTGATGTTGCTTGTTGGTCCAGTTGTGAGGATTTTCATTTTCCTTAGGTTGAGGTGTAATCCATACTGCAGACTGTAGTCTTTGATCTTCATCAGTAAGTGCATCAAGCACTTTCAGTTTCATCTTGCGGTTGTGTCATCTGCATATTGCAGATTGTTAATGAATCATCCTCCAATCCTGATGCCATGTTCTTCTTCATATATATGTATAAATATGAAGAATATATATATATAGACAGATAGATAGATATAGATATATATGAAGCTTATATATCCAGGTTCTTGGATTATTTTCTTAGCATACAGGTTAAATAAACATGGTGAAAGGATACACCCCTGATGCAGACCCTTACTGATTTTAAACCATTCAGTATCCCCTTGTACTGTTCAAATGACTGCCTCCTTGTCTATGTACAGGTTCCTCATGAGCACAATTATGTGTTCTGGAATTCCCATTCTTTCAATGTTACCCTTAATTTGTTATGATCCACACAGTTGAATACCTTTGCATAGTCAATAAAACACAGGTAAACATCTTTCTAGTAGTCTTTGCTTTCAGCCAAGATCCATCTAACATCACTGATGATATTCCTTGCTCTATGTCCTCTTCTGAATCCAGCTAGAATTTCTGGAAGTTCCTTCTCAATATACAGCTGCAACCATGGGAATTATCTCCAATAAAATTTTGCTTGTGTGTGTTATTAATGATATTTTTCAATAATTTCACATCGTGTTGGATCACCTTGGCAATTGGAATCGTTTCTGCTTCAGTATAAGTACCAGTGACACAGAAGATGGGGAAGGACAATAGATAAGAACAATCTAATTAATACTTCTAGCTGGGTCACAAATATTGTATGTCACTGCCTTTGAGAGCCCGGAGGCCTCTGAATATGAACCACAGTGTACTGTGTGCTGTGAACTATTGTTTCATTTTCTTTGCTATTTGTTTGTGTTTCATGAACACTTGGTTCAGTTCCACAGACCTTTCCAAGAACCCACTTGGTGCCAGATTCTGTGCATCAACCCCCAGTTTATGTTTGCTTTTCTCTGCTTTAAAGTTGAAAGGGTACTTAAAAGTTATCTAGCCTGAGGTCCTTGCTTGATACATGCAGAAAGTGAGGCCCTAGAAAGAAAGTGTTGAATCTGGGTCTCAGAGTTGGTGTAGGGCTTGGTTTTGCTACAGAACCTGAGCTCTTCCCAGCAGCCTCTGGGGTCTGGAGACCTTACAAATAACCTTGGCGTTCAGTCCTTGAGTGTTTGCCATGTGCTGATGCTGGGCAACGTGCTTTCCATGACTTTTCTCTTTCAATCCTTAGAGCAGCCCTCTAAAGCAGTTGTCATTGTCCCTGTTGTTATCCTCTGTTTTTACAGATGAAACTAAGGCTTGAAATAGCCAAGATACTTGGCTACAGTCAGACCGTAGTATTAGCAGAGCAGAAATTCCCTTCTGGGTCTGTGTGAACCTGAAGCCTGTGCCCTTTTCTGCTTCACAGAATAAACAGAGTGCATATGAGTTTGACAGAGGCTGCTAGTACTAAGTCTTTCTTCTAAATGAAGAGGAGAACTGGCATGCTTTCTTTATTTCTTTTTTTTTTTTTTTTAACTTTTTATTTTGTTTTGGGTGAAATTTTTTAAAGCAGATTTGTTTTACATTCAGTAGTTCATACATGTTTTGTGACAATTGGTATTATTTCTTAATTTTCAGGATTGGTTTGAGAAGTCATTCTGCTTTCCAAGGGCCTCTACTAGGCAGTTCCTGGAGTCCTACTAGTTGCCTCCCAGCTGCTTTATTGCTAAATCCTTCCAAAAACTTGGTGCCCTTGCTGCACCTCCTGTTGAAAAACTCGGGCTCCTGTTTCCACACTCAGCTCTTGGAAAAACATCCCCAGAAAGGAAAGGAGGCTGTAAAAAATGTCCTGGTATCTGGCAGGTGCCTCAGCTGAGTTGGGTCTCTCAGGGGGCAGCTCCTGAGCATCAAGGGGTTTGTACCTGATCTAGCCCCAGCTCTGAGCATGGCAGAGAGAGGATTCTGAGCCCACTTAGGCACCTGCTGCTTTCAAAGTTGAGAAAAGATAGCAGATTTAAGATGTCTCTTAACGAGCAGCTTTTAAAACATTGTTGTAGGTTCATATTTACTCACCTTAACAGAATGGATGAGATATGTACAGGCCTTTGTGTATGTGTGTATGTTGTGTAAAGAGCCACAGGGGTGTAAGATGTTGGGGAGTAGGTATATATATGAGGTAAGGTGTGAGTCTTTGTTTGGTTGGGGGATGGGAGTATATGTAGGGTCAGGTGGGGGTGTATGTGTAGAGTAAGGTGTGAGGGTAGGGAGTTGGTTGTGAGCATATATATGTGTATGGGATAGGAGGGTATGTGGGAGAGTAGGGTGTGAGGGTGTGTGTGGGGGTATGTGTGAGTATGTAGGGGCTAGAGTGTGGGGGTGTGTGAGGGAGTAGGATGTACAGATACTGAGGATAAGATATGTGGAGAATAGTGTGTGAATAGGAGTGTGTGTGTGTGTGTGTGTGTGTGTGTGTTTTGGGGGGTGGTCACCATAAGGAGAGGACCAATGGCCCTGCTCCAGGTGACTGTACCTGCTGAAACTGGGTTAGTACAGGAGCTGCTGAGACCTGCAGTGCTTCCCTGTTGTGGGGGAGCTGTGCTAGCCAGGGCCTCAGGCATGCCTCACCTTTACCTGGTCAGGGCAATTAATTTGCCAGGTGTCTGCATCACTGCAGGATGCTTGTGTGTCAGTCCATACAGCTTTGCACTTATTAAGAACCATGGGAGAGATTTAAATGAGAAATTAAGGGGACCAGTGGGAGGTTGTGCTGAGGGCTAAGAAAGAGAAATTACATCTCCCTCAGTGGCTCAGCCACAGTAAATGACCAAGGTCATCTCTCTCGACTGTGTTCTTGATAAAAGGCAGCTGCAGTCATACCATGTGAGAGAAGTAACTTTAGAAGACATGCACATACACACACATACACACCAGATACAGATGCAGATAAGAGGGCCCTTGAAGCCCCTCCCAGATGCCAGGCATCCTCTGCAGCTGTAACTCTTTATGCAGTGCAGTCTGCTGCAGGCTTTGCAGTGGGGGGACGATGGCTTTTATGAATGGTAGCCTGGGAGGGGCCTAATGTCATCCGCTCCTGATGTCAGCACAATGAATGAAATACTTGCAAAGCTAAAGCTTCAAGCACCCGGGAAGCAGAAACCTCAGATTAGTTCTCTTAAGTGCAGCGTCTCTTGCTGACGAAATCACCAGTCCCATGTGTCATAGATAATCTATATATGTTAGGATTTAAATGAGGCAGAATCAGAGGCTGCATGTGGAGTAACGCGTTATCGAATTCCGACACAACCAGCTTTTTCCCTGCAGCAGCTGTGGCCACGGCCCTCTTCCTGCCCGGTGCTGGAGAAAGGTGCTTGTGCGAGCTGTGGACCCACAGCTAGGCGTTAGGCATCTACTGAACTAGCCTGATGTTCTGCTTTTGCTGGCAAAATTCCTTGCTGAAGCTCCAAGCCCTTGAATCTGATCTGTGTTCTGCATTTTTGACAAATCAGGAAGAAGCTGCTCAGGTGCATGGAGTCAAGGACCCAGAACCAGCTTCCATCCAGAGCGTGCCTGGGCCTGCTGATGGGGCGGATTCTGAAGGTAAGTGGCAGGGCTGGGGATGTCCTCGTTTGTATTCTGAAGGTAGTTCAGCCTTTTGCTGTTTCATTCTAAACTTGCTCCCAGTGGGATAAGATACCTGGAGCAACATGAAAGCTGAAAAGGTGTTTCTGAGTTACACAGGAGTGGCTAAGATGGAATCGGGGGAATGAAGATGTGCTGTAAGGTAGAGCATTGTCTCTAGCTAGGGGCCAAGAGATAGACTTCCATAAATGGGGTTCAGGTGAAAAGCACACATCCCAACTTCTGGTCTCCGTTTTTCTACTTGGTATTATGGAACACATGAGCGTGTACTTGTTTGACATCACTGGCCCTAGATAACCTGTACTGTCTTGAAACTGGTGATATCTTTGAGGTCATGTAGGGATGGAGGAAGGAGCCCTGATGGCACAGTGGTTAAGCACTTAACTCCTAACTGGAAGGTTGGCTGTTCAACCTACCAGTCATTCCACAGGAGAAAGATGTGGCAGTTTGCTTCTGTAAAGATTTACAGCCTTGGAAATCCTCTAGGCACTTCTGTTCTGTGTGGTTGCTCTGAGTTGGAATTGACTCAACGACAGTGGGATTTAGGGATGGAAGAGTTTAAACTCCTACTCCTTTCTTCTATTAACTGCTTGTAAGATGACCCATCAACACAGGGAAAGTGGAAGGTGAGTGGCATTAACTTGTTGTTATCCTGTATTGTCTTGTCTGTCAGATTTTTTTTTAGCATTAATTCCTCTGTCAAAAAAAAAATAATCTCATATTTGAGTCTTATTTTGTCTGTAACTTTCACCACTTTTAATCCCAGGAATGGTAGGTTGGCTAGCAAGCAGAAAGCACACTGATGCTCCCAGAAGACTTAGACAGCAAAGAAACACTAAATTGAGTAGAAATGAGAGCAGAGCTTATCTTTCCTAACACAAATCTATCAGTGATGTGCAGACTGGTTTCTAGATGGATAGTAGAAATAGGCTTAAGAGAGAGAGAGTACTTCATGAGATGTCCCTTATATCTAGGAATTGATGGAAGGGATTTACAAAGGTAACCTATATTAGTAGTATTAACAATAATACATTTAAAACACTACTGTTTAAAATGGTCCATAACATCTAAGCAAGGCAAAACAGCCATCTCTCATGTTTGAATGTAAAGTAATAACAGTGGAAAATGATAACTATTAATGGTAGCTACTATATTACTGAGGAGCTCTGGTAGCATAATACCTAAGGCACTTGACTGCTAACCAGAAGGCTGGCAATTCAAACCCACCAGCCACT